ATCTTGAGCAATTTTTGTGAGGAAAATGACGAAAAATTAAGAGGAATTGGTATAACTCGTTTAAGAAATTGAATGACAGTCGATGATGTGGAAGAATTAGAAATAAGGACTTTGAATTGAAATCAAAGGGAGAATGGTCGATTTATAATAGGGATAATATGGTCATGTTATTTATTTTTATAATCAAAATGATCCTAAAAAGTAATTAATGATTTTAAAATATGAAAAAGTTATTTAAAAAATAGAATATGGAAAATATGATATTTTTGAATGTTTATGAACGATAAATATGATATTTAGAAATTAAGCCGCGCAAATATGATATTCTGATGTTTATAAAGGGTATATACGAAATTCCCCTTATGATTTTAAACAAGTGATTTTTTGAGAGTTAGCATTCTTAAAGAATACACTTGCATATAAGACATTTTTTTAAGAAAGTAAAATCAAAACTACCTACATTTTAGGCAACTAAGTCAAATTAATTAATAAAATTAAATCAAATAAAATTCAATGCAGATTATAATATAATATGACGATGAGAATCATATTTTTCCAAGAAAATAATTTGAAAGAAAATATATTCTATGAGAGTGAAATAATAAGAAATGAATTACAAGTATATAACCAATATTCTTATAGACTAATACATAAACAAAAATACATTAAATGAATAAAAAATTCATAAAAAAATATTCTTAATATTCTTGAATCATGCAATATTATTTTTACACGATACTAAAATGATTCACCAAAGCTATATCACCAACTGAAAATTCATGAAGAATATGAAATATTCTTTTTACACATAAGCATATGTTATATGCTATAAGAAATTCTTGAAGAATATGAAATACTCTTTTTACACACAAGCATACATTACATGCTATACATATTCTTGAAGAATATGCAGTAAATAATAATATTTGGTATGAGTTCTTAAAAATAAAAAACATTCTTAAAGAATATACAAAGACGATGAACAATATCACTTGAAGAAGATGTCGAATGGTAGCCCTTGAAGAACATGATGAAGAACGATCCATTCCATTTACAACTCGTCTCTATGTATCCCCTTTATGTCCGTGTGTACATCACCTTAAACAACCGAGACCCTTATGCCATCTCACAAGAATCAATCAACCTTTTTTTCCCTAAAAAACTAAAAATAAATCGATCAAATGTTTCTTCCTCCTTACCCCTCCCCAAATAATAATAATCATAAAGAACGTTATTGTAGTATGTTAGTTCGCTAAGAGTCCCACGCTTATCTTTTATTTATGGAAAAAGAATCTTTACCAGCTCTATCATTTTCAAACCGTGTTATGTATTTATAATAAGAGAGAGAATCATTTGTTGAAAGAAAGATAAAAAAACTCTTGTTTTGTATCTAAGAGTATGTATACACCATTTATTGATTTAACATGTACGTTTTGTTATGTGATTTTTTTCTTAACAATTTGATTTATATCTAACAAAATGGGAATACTTAATTATATATTAAATTATTACAAATGATTGATAAGAAGCTAAAAGACATATGCACAAAAAGCAAACTTTCAACTATCATTGAATAAAAACTTAACAAATAACATTACTTTTTTTTATAATCCAAGAATCGGCCTTGGAAACTATTCCACGACGGAAGGAGTATGAATAAAATTAAAAGCATACATAAGATGGTTAGAGGGCGAGTTTACCATTTTATTTTTCTATCCTTCAAATGGAGACGGGCAATGGTGCCTGTGCAGGTGGGCATCAAAGATGAAGAAAGGCATGAAAGATGTAGACCTACAGAGGCTTGAAGATGAAGACTATATCTTATTTAATTAATTCAATTCCATATTTATAGCCTTTTAATTTGGTGATATTCAAAAAATTAAATAATATTGTTGATTACTTCCTTATTTGTAGGTTTTAATATTGGCATAATAAATTAGTTAATCGTAAAATTTTGAAATTATCACTATTAAATCATTGGTTCAGATTTAACCATACACTCACACTATATATATATGAACCTAACTTTCTTTTCTTTTCTTCTCTCTCTCTCTCTCTCTCTCTCTCTCTCCTCTCTCTCTCTCTCTCTCTCTCTCTCTCTCTCTATATATATATATATATATATAGATATATATATATATATAGATATATATATAGATATATATCTATATATATATATATATATATAGACACACACACGTAAACCTATTAATGATGATGTTGAACAATTATATGCGGCACATCAAACCGAACATGGTTTTATGAGGATTCTAGGAAGCATCGATTCTACAACGAATTCCCACTCGGTGGATGACTACTTAAGGATGTCAAGTAGAATCACAAGAGAATGTTTGTATAAATTTTATGAGTATCTTTACGAGTAATATATATATATATATATATATATATATATATATATATATATATATATATATATATAGAGAGAGAGAGAGAGAGAGAGATAGATACACTCACGCAAACCTATTAATGGTGATGTTGAGTTTGAGAAAATTTCCCAAATGCATGGAAGGGGCAATACACGTGGTGATCCTGGAGTGTCGGCGATCGTGGGATGCCGTTGCGTCGGAAGACCTATAGATTTGGTATGCTTACTTTGGTGTTTGCTAGGTCTAATAATTTCCTAAACCTTCTCAAGTAGTCGCCGTTCATCAATAATATTTTGACGTGAAAAGCACTGAATGTTCCATTTGTAGTGAATGGAACACAGTACAAGCATGTATATGATCTCATTGAGAGGATATACACTACTTATTCTACCTCCATTAAAGTGTACCAATATCCGCAAGACAAAAAATGTAAATTCTTCAAGACAACTAATGAATCATCGCAAAAGGATTTTCGAAACACAAATATATTATTTTTTTTGCTGAAACAATCTACATTTATTTTTAACAAAAATGGTCCCCGAAAGAAAACTAATTGCTGGTCGGAAACTATTCACCGATAAAAATATTCGCCGCCACTGCATCGCGTGGGTATGTTACTAGTGTGTGTATATATATATATATATATATAGTATATTATATATATAATATATATATATATATATATAATATATGTTCTAATTTTATTTGTCTTATTAGTGTTTATATTCTATCACATTTCAAATGAAAACCATCAACTCAACATTTCTAAAAGTGGGCACTATGTAATGAGATGGAGGTTTTATTTTGTGATAACCAGGCAATATGGATCTGAGACGAGGAAGTAGTTATTAAACATTTGTTTCATTTTGTTAATTACATTTAAACCCTTTGTTTGTTAACCAATATTTTTAATTTTATTTTCGTATAGTTCTATATATTTTGGAATGACAAAACTCCCTTAAAAAAATATATTCTTACAACATTTGTTATGTGGGCTAGAGAACTTCTAAATAATCATATGACTAATGCATGTAGATGCATATATGGTTAGTGGCTTACGTTATTCTATTCAAAGTAATTATTGTGTTATTGTATGCATAAATGTGGGCCAATCAAATTTACTTATTTTAAGAAAGTGATTAATATATATTATTGAATTAAATATAATTGAAAAATATCATCTTAATTAATTACAAGGGTAATTTAGTCAATTAATGTAGATTTAATAAAGGAAAATTGCAATTTTTAAGGAATCATAGATTCTATTAATTTTAAAAATCCGATTTTATGAATTATAATTCTTTTTATTCGGACATTCTGACAGAATATGTTTATGAGTATATTCAAAAATAAAAATATTCTTGAACCATAAATAATAAAAATATTCTTGAACCTATTTCTTGATCATGAATTTAAAAACTTCTTGTATAATAACAAATTCTTGAACATTCAATTGAAGAATAAAAATAAAAAATACATTATTTCTTATACAATACGGGTAACAATTGTTAAGAATTACATTTATTGTTAAAGAATAAAACTAAAAAAACTTTCAAACCGGGAAAGAAAACATCAAAATCTAACAACGACTAATACATTCTAAAAGAATAATGTGGTCCGTTTCAATTTTGTGGTCCGTTCTTCAAGCATCAACTTCTGTGATTCCAACAGAATTGGAATTCGTGATTCCATTCCAACAGAATTGGAATTCGTGATTCCATTCCAATAGAATTGGAATCTCACCAATATCATCCATTGAATCATCTACATAAACATACTTGCTACCTTTTCAGAATTCAACCTTGTTGCGATTAGTCGAGCTTGACTTCTCTAGTTGGTGGTGCTAATTGCAAATAGTAAAATGGTTCACATTATTCCAAGATTCTGTAATTGTCAAATACCAAATGCAAGTAAAAATTCACCTGGGCAGAACACACCTGACCTCCTGTAACATATTGTATGGCTGTAACATATTGTATGGCAGAGTAAACATAAAGAAAGCAAAAGCAGTTAGTTCCATCCAAACTCAAATTATACAAAGGAATCATAAAAACAACAAAAAAAAATTTCTACCTTTAGATGGAGCAGCCGGCTGTGACAACCCTACCTCCACCTTCTTCTTCGTCTTCTGCAACGACCACACACTCTAGTGTGGTGTTTTCTTCTTGTTCTGTCGATCAAAGCACAAAACATACACCACCCCCAAATCACTACTTCTAAGAAACAGAAGTTGACGCAGCTAGAGGTAGCTAGAACAAAAAAAACTAATTTCTTCCTTCTTCATTTCCTGTGAATCAACAAACCTAAATTCCCTTCATTTTCATTGATTTCCCAGCAAACCCAAACACCCCAACGATTTCTATCAAACAAACAAACAAAATCCCAAAAGAAACTTTTTTTTTTCGTTTTACTATTGAGGTATCAGAATAAAAAAGCAACCATCTTTATGCATAAAAATGTGAACTTTTTTCAAATTTAAGCTATCATAATGAAAAATCAACCATTTTTTTTTTGCAAAAAAGTGTTAACACTTCACAACTTTGAGGCATTTGAATGATAAATCAAGCATCTTTTGGCATAAAAATATGAACTATCAAAAACCCATAAATATTTTCAGATAATTGGAGCAAACAAACTCTCTGTAATTACTTTTGAGGAAGATGAAAAGAAAAGAAAGACTACCTTTTTAAGGCCAGGAACTAAAGCAGATAGAGCTATGAACCTTCGACTAAGTTTCTCTCTCATTTTTCTCTCAGCTAAGATATGATCTTGAGCTGGGGTATGTTTGCTACTATTTTTCGCAACATCAAAACCACCATGATGACTTTTATTAAAACCAGAGCTCTCTTGGTTACTAAAATGGAGATGAGTATCACGAATAAAGCCATGTATGCTCTTTGAAGAAACTGTCATTTCTTCTTTAGGCTTTACGACTGTTGCTTGTTGAGATAGATTCAGATTCATTAAGGAATGAGAATGATCAGTGGCTATGGAGGAATTCCAGCTGCTTGTTTTAAGTTGTTTACTTGGTCTTGAAGATGGTTCCATAACAGGTTTGTAATAGTCAAACACGCCTACTTGACCATGGATACGATCCATGTTGTCTCCGAACGTACCTGATCGCCATTGAATTGAATCTTGTTGTTGATTGTCGAATGAATTGACTGGACATTGGAAATTGAAAGAGGCGTCTTCCATTCCTGTCAATTCTGATAAGTTTCTGAAATGTGAAATCTCCATTCCTGCAAATATCAAAATATACACACGAACGTTAGATTCTAAAACCTTTACAGGATTCAGCAGATATTGGAAATACCCAAATCAAAAATCGCATTTAAATATGAGAATAGCAAACACCAGCGAGGTCCTCACCTGCGACGAATGGCTGCCATCGGACCCCCATTTCCCCTCGTTTTCTTCCTTCTCTGTTGTTCCCATCGAACACAAAGCCGCTCCTCGTGAATCGACCGACTACGCACCGCCTGTGAGCTTCGTTTTCTTCGGCCTTCTTTGTGTTATGTGACAACCGAGGAACCGGAAGCAGCGCCGACGAGCCTTCGCTTTTCCTTCTATTCATCCGTCTGCTTGCAGACGTTCTTCCCTTGCCCGTTCAACAAATGACGGCGGGATGCGATTTAAACCTAATCCCTTGTAAAATCTTTTAAAAATTGTAACATCCGGATTTCCAGGTATCATAAATTGAGTATTTATTTTTGAGTCAAGGAGAGGGACTCGACGAGTTGACGCCTAGACTCGTCGAGTAGGATCGCGACTGCTGACTAGGATTAATGAATGGACTCGACGAGTCGGCGAGTCGACTCGACGAGTCCGCGTTGTGGACAAAAACCCTAAATCTTTAGGCCTGTGCCCTATTTAAGGGTCCTTATGGCCTTCATTTGCGGCCACTCATACCCTAGAGAAACCCTAGCAAACCAGAGAGCTTAGAGAGAGAGAGAGAGAGAGCTTATTTCACCACAATAGTGCATTCTTGCAAGGAAGGAAGGAAGATTCAAGCTAGGCTGCTTAGAGGGGACTCAGAACTTCTTCTATTTCACCACGTGCTTCTTTTGAGTATGAAATCCCTGCCTATTTTTCGTGTATATAGTAGATTTATGGAATCTAGGGTTTCTTTACCCTTTCTTTAGTTGGATTATGGAGCATGTGAAGTCCCATGGAGAATAGACTTTAGATCGGGACCTTGAGAGGTCCAGAGTGTCCCAACAACCAAGCTTTATGATGTTTCATGAGAGTATTGAGCCTAGGACTCCATTTTTAGAACTATTTCTTCAATCAGAGCTATATGTCCGATGCATGAACGTAAAGTTCAAACCTTTACATGACTTTTGGGTATTGAGCCTAGGACTAGTCTAGCCTTTGAGAGCCGTATTAATTAGAGATAATTACTTTATGTGATTAGCCGGAGGCTAGATCAGATATTCGAGTTCGAGACTTTCCGAGATTACCGAGGTGAGTCTTCTCACTATACATTACCTAGAGTGGTAACTATGTGCAGACCGGAGGGTCTTATGTGTTATGTGTATGTTGATTTTGTGCATTGTGATATATGTATGCTATGTGTTATATCGCCCGGACCGGATGGTCCTATACGATTTAGCCCGGACCAGAGGGTCCAACGATTTAGACCGGACCAGAGGGTCCAACGAGCTAGAAGACCCGGACGGAGGGTCCAACGAGCTACGGGACTGGAGGGTCCCGCTGAGAAACATTGACCGGAGGGTCATACCGAGTTATAGCCTCGAGTGGATTATGTGTTGTATATGGTATTTTGGGGAACTCACTAAGCATTTATGCTTACCGTGTTATGTGATAGTGTTTCAGGTACAGCCAGCGAGATCGCGGAAGGCGCCGGCATGATTTGTACACACTGGCAGAGGATTATGTTTTGAGATTCTGGGATATGTTTTATTATGATGACATTTGATACATGAGATTTTGAGAATATTATATGAGTTTTATTATGTTGAAAAATGAAAAATTGTTTTAAAATTTACGTCGTTACAAAAATAGCAAAAATACCCTCACTATTAAACCTTTCCCCGTCGATTATTTTTGGATGATCAGTGAGGGTTTTCCGAACACGATAGCTTCAATACCTTGTAGGATGCTAGGGCTTTATTGGGTGGGAGATTGAGGAAGACACGCTTATTTATTTAGGTTATAAGTCAATACCATGTTTATAGGGATTATTTTTGGAAGTTACTAAACAAATTACTAAATTACCCTTATTTATTTATTTTATTATTTAATTTTTTATTTAATTTTGATTGGCCCACACTGATGCATACAATAACACAATAATTAGTTTAAACACCTGAACCTAGCTCTATGGTTAGTTATTAATCTTTACAACATTGCACTTTTAGTTTAATGATTTTTGACTTTCTTTTTTCTTTGCATCCAACAACTTGGTTGCAACACTATAGATGCTTGCTCCTCTTTGTTGTCTTAGCTACTCGCTACTAGTTCTTTTTCGATCTATTTTGCTTTTAGCAAACAAGTAGAATAGTAAAACATCAACATATATACAACTTTCATTTGATCTAATGTTTTCATTTTTTACGACCACATATTTGGCATCCTTAATATAAGTTTTAATTTTGGTTGTTTGTATGTTGATGTTTCCCTTTTTATTTTCCTTACCTTTGGAATTGGCTCACATTTTTTATAATTTAATGTTAATTTCTCTCATAGTTTCAACGAAATGAGACCAATGTGATGCTAAAACTAACACAAACCGTACTCAATCAGATCATGATAGAGCATAATAGATACCTACAACACATTATTGTAACTTACAATCATTAAATTACTCCTTAATTTCACTCTATAAATAGGAAATAAATAAATAAAAGATCTCTTATATTATTTATTTCAGAATGCAACATACAATCAAAAGAAAATCCCAATATGCTTTTAGGCAATCTACAATGACATTTTAAGGTGCCCCTCTATTTTGCAAATCCCACCCACGCACCCTTTACTTGTACAGTCATTGTTACAAACTTCTGGATTACAATTCGGCCTTTTAAAACTTTTACAACAGTAGTAATCCTTTGGATCGATGATTTTGCTAATATTTAAAGCCATTGGCCCATCAGCGGTCTCCGATGTAGAGCTTATCAGCGGTCTCCAACACAGTGCTGCAACCAAGGCCAAAGAAACACAAGTTCAAATTACTATAGTCCATGCATATAAGGCCTATATTGATAAGTTGATATACATAGTAAATTTAATAAAATAGTGTAATTTATAACTGGAAATGAAGTAATAATGTTGGTTTAATGGAGAGCCATGAGGACAAGGAAACTTTTGCATGAAACCATGCACATATAAAACAATGACAAACGATTTAGAAACTTATAGATGGAATGTGAAGCATTAAAATAAGAAAAAACCCTAAATATTTACTTGGCAAGGAATCCATATGTAAAAACTAACCGGTACAGAGAAAAATGATCAAGAGAATTTAGCATGGACTTCTTGGTTGAACCATTTTTAATTTTTTTAAAGTAAAAGAAATTGATTGTATTGATTTGTGTGTATCACTCCAGGAGATGGGGTATATATAGATATATTATAATAATATATATATATATATATATATATAGGTTCAGTGAATAGTTAAACAAGTTAATACATTTAATACAAGTAAAACGGTTTTAGGAGCAAGTTTCATATTTCATAAATGTTCTTTTAATTACAAGTAAAGTTAAAACACACCATTAATTTCAAGATGTTTATTAAGAATGTAACCTAATAAAATTCTCCTCCTTCAAGCTATATATATATATATATTATATATATATATATATATATAGATATATTATATAATATATATATGATATATATAGATATATTATATATAATATATACTAGACGACGAATTCCTGCGCAACGCGCAGTACAGGTTAAAAATATATTGTTAAAATATTGAAAATATATGTTTAAAATGGTTATGTTATTGACTTTAACTTTGAGATAATATTTTACACTAACTTATATATATATATATATATATATCTATATATATATATATAATATATCTATATATATATATATCTATGATTAAAATCTCAATTATTTTGAACAATATTATTCATTGACATCAACCCACCTTCCTTATTAATAGAATTAAATATAATTATCTATTTAGTATTATTTTTAACAATTATTATGATTGATTAATTATATTTTCACTTATGCGATCATTTTCTAATTTCAATAATGATGTCCATTTAAAATACAATTTATTTGTAGCTAAATGTAATTTATAATTTGATGTTATTATCATTTAAAATTATTATTCATTAATTTTAAACCACTTATTGTTAATAATAAGTTAAAGAAGACTTTTAAGAAACAGTTAATATTATATATCTCACATTCCATAACATATGATCGATAACATGAATCTAATCTAATTTACATTAAAAATTCAACCACAAAATACAATGATATTCTTAAAAGAATACTTAAACCAAGAAAAAATAAAAAAAGAATTAGTATATAACAAACTTACAAATTAAAAACTTCAACATAATAACATGACTCGAAAAATGGCCCAAAGCCCTCAAACCAACACAAAAACCTTTAAACTTTTTTTCTTTGTGAATTTTGTATGTGATTTGTATTTGTGTGTCTAGTCAAACAGATTGGCATTTTTATAGTAGACTATCCATTAATTGTTTATTAAATATATTATATAAGTTATAAAACCTTTGAATTGTTAATCATTATTAAGAGACTTTTGAGTGGTATTCATTAAAATAGGAGGTTTCAACTGCATGAGGTGTTTGCAAATTTTTGTGAGGGTTTAAAATGCATGGGGTTCAAGAAAAAATGTCTCATTTATAAGTATACTATGATATATATATATATATATAATATATATATATATATATATATATTCGATTACTTACAAGATCTTGATCCCTAACAAAAAAATAACTAAATAAGTCCAATCCATTGAGAATTGTATATATACAACCCAATGTATGCTTGCCATACACCCAAATGGATTTTATCAGATTAAAAACTATTTTGTTGGATATTTCATTATCATGTATACGCTATGAGTATTAAGACAGTGCAAAGCATGATAGATGAATATAGATAACGTAATATCAAAAATGGTACTTCAATTTTTACCAGAAGACCTTATTATAAATGTATCCAAGGTCACAAAATGAAGTCTATATTTGTATAGTCAATAGCTGTAA